GCCAAACAATGACTTACATAGTTATATTGCTCTTTTAATTTTCCAAAGATCACATGCTTATTTTACATATATCTTACCATACTCTATCAATGTAACATTTGTTCATCAATTTGGGATTTCCAAAAACCAACCACAAATGTAAGATTTTAAAATAAATCACTCTTAAGATGTCATCTCAATATTTTAAAGTAATCTTTTTATATAGGATAAGCAAACTTAATCACATTTCATGATTTAAGAAATACTCAAATTTCATAATGCCTTGCAACAAAAAAAATCATGACTTGTAAACAAAAAAAAAATCACCTCCTCTTTTCATATATATACACATCATTTATTCTACTTTCTTTCTTCTCACCAATGTTGGATAAACAAATTTAACCATATTTCAAGATTTGAGGAATACTCAAATCTCGTACTGTCAAGTCATTTTATTTGGTTTCTCCTTTAATATGTATGTGTGTTTGTGTATATATATATATATATATATATATATATATATATACTATATTATAAAGCATTTGACAAAAATTCTTAAAAATCATTCTTGATGCATGAAGTACTATTAATTAATGCATAGTTCTTAAAATTTAAGATTACAAGTAAATTGTGCGTAAGTACAACTTATTAAAGCTTCATTTTTGAATTCGTATAACTAACTACAGATAAACATAATCAAATACAAGATAAATATCTCATTTTAGATATAAAAAATCTAAAATATAATTAGGATAATAATTAAGTTCTAACAGAATCATTATCTTTATAAAATTATATTGTTAATCCAAAAATAAATTACTTCATTATTAAACCTAAATTAAATTATAATAAAAAAATAGAATTAAAGAAATTGTACAAAAAAATGAGAACTTTTAAAAATTTAATTTGATATTAATATCAATGAACTTTTTAAAAAATTTATGATATTTTCAAATTTATTTTTATTCAAAACTAAAAACATTATCTTTCTCAAAACCACATAAACCGTATTATATCAACAGAGACAACATAAAACGAAACATTAAAATGAAGACGTATCTCGTTGCATTGCACGAGTACACTTCTATTATATATAAATCCATGTATTTATATTCTCTCTCTCTCTCATACACACACGAGAGAGAGAGAGAGAGAATCAAACTAGAACATGGTCGAAATAAGAGGACAAGAAAAAGTCCAAAATCACATGTAGTTTTAAATGTGATCAAGGAACATGGTCAACACAAGGATGAGCAAACAACCTGGCCCACGAACTGAGTTCGCGACCAAAGTCGCGTAAATCACATGTGATTTTACATATGATTTTAGTGTAAATTGTCGTTCAGTGATTACCGACGGATCACCCAGAAAAATACCAGTGGCTTGGTAAAATCCGATGTTTTGTGAGAAAATACTAATGGATCACCCAGATAATCCCTGAATATCATATCTGAAATTGATTTGAATTATCCACCAACAATTTACCTACCAAATTTTTGTGAAGAATGACCATTTAGCGACAGATTTTCTAGGAAAAAAATCCGTAGATAAAAGTCTTTCATTTAGTAATGTGTAACATGACCACATATTATCAACTAAGGAAGTCAAGATAATGACTAGGATAGTCACGTCTTGAAAGCGAAAGTCTATGGACAAATTAGCCAACTATTTGAAGTTGTGGGCTAAATGATGACCTTTTCCATCACGTTAACACAAAAACATGTTTTCATGGTATACGAATGTTGTTAGCGTCGTTGTCATATGTGCAGTAAGGTCTAAATTCATAGAACCTAACCTAAACCAGTAAAGAGGTGAGTAGGATGTCGATCTTCTTAGGTAGTCAATGATTAAGCTAAACATTTGTGTTATTATGATTTACACAGAAATTTACAATTCAATTTCCAATTAAACTCAAATTATGTAACCAAGTGGTGAAACATTACTTGTTACACATCACACTAGTTTATAATGCTTTGGATATTTGGAATTGCTATGAAAGATGAAAATGGAATAAAAAAAATAAAGCTTTATGGTATTAAAATACCAATATCAGTTAAATCATTACAAACCCAGATATTTTATGAATTCAACTCGTTTCGTATATTTTGCTCGATTCCGAATGTGTCATTGAAATGAGTATAAACATGAAAATATTTCAATACTTTGGTCTATCGAAACCGAGCATCCTCGACATAAATAGTGGCATGTATAGAGATATGAGTAGGCTAATGGTCAATGTAAGGTTAAGAACAAGAAAATGGTCAAATCACATATGATTACGGATAATGGTCAATGTAAGGTTAAGCGGGCGACCTGGCATGCAACCTCGTGTGAATCAATATGATTTTACAAATGATTTTAATGGCGCTTGCCCAGGGCTCAAAAATAGTAGAGGCCCAATTTATTTTTTCTGAGTATATAGTAGTAGTAAAAAAAAAAATTAATACGTTAAAGAGTCTAAAAATTGTAACATAGAATAATAGGGTAAAAGAATTTAGTAGACAATAAGAGTCGAAAAAAAAATTAGTTGGTCATTCGTTATATGTTATTGTTTATTATTTTTCTAATTTTCTTTATTTGGTACCAAATTTCAATACTGTTGACTATTCTTGTCTCTATACGTTGGACTGTTTTTGTGTTTCAACAGTTCGACGAATAAGAACTTTAAGCATATGCGCTCCCTCCATATTACTTTTCTTTTGATATCAAAATAACACATATTTCTGTTATGTAGGATCATTTTTACCTTCTAGAAAACTTACCGACCATAGTATATAGTATATGGTCAAACTCGTATCTATATTCTAAAATTTTAAAAGTACCCTTGTTTTTTAATATACTGTACTCTTGGTTGCTAATTACCTAATAAGGAGTACGTAAATCTTCTCTTATCTATGATAAAGAAAAACAAGATTTCTTTGATCCATGAATTATTAGCATTTCATGTATTTAATTTTTTATTAACGAAAAACATTTATTTGATTTATTTTTCATACTTATCTCGAAGGCCTCTGATTTTACATACGCTCAGGGCCTATGAAATGTCAAGAACAGGCGTGTCCTTACTCTATATATATATATATATATATATGTGTGTGTGTGTGTGTGTGTGTGTGTGTGTGAGGGGGGAATGTGATGGTTCTTTTATTATTATCGGGATATTTAATGAAGGTGAACATAATTTATTCATTATTATCAACATTTTAGATTAAGAAACAATCGAGATATCTATGGAACCAGATATTCATTAGACTAAATGAAAGGTCGATGTTAATTTATATGGTTTGTATAAATTGGATGGTTTAAAAAAACATGGTTATTCTCAAGAGGATGGATGGGAACGAAACGAGAACCACAAAGAAATTACAAACGAGCCATTGAGTAAATTACTTGACATGAAAGCTCCCCCACACATTTGAAGCTACTTCGGATACAAGCCACACATATGAAGCTTCTTCAAATACAAGCAACAATCACCCTCCACAAGTTTGTTTTTTCTTTTTGTGTCCCACTCTTCACCATTCATCAATTGTTTTGTGTCTACAATTCATTGCTCATTTGTTGCTAAACGAACTTGTGAACAACCATAAAGGTGGTGTCTGATTAATTTGAGTTTGACTTCAAATGTCAAAAGTATCTGAAGGTCTCAGGTTCAAATCTAATGAGAAATAAAAATCCCCTTGTGAACACGGAGGTTCAAATGCAGTAACTCCGGACTATCTATGCAAAATAGGTGGTCGCCATGGGATTAGTCGGGTCGCATAATAGATTGAATATCCAGATTAATAAAAATAAAAAAAACTTGTAAACTCTAATTATAAGAGTAATAAAAATATTATATCATGATAAATTAATGGCATTTAACTCTTTTTATTTCAACTACATGTTAGAAATTTTGCTAAAATATAAAAATATATTATTAGAAAATTAAATTCAACAAACAAATTCTTTTTACAAGTTTGGTTCATAATATCTCATTAAAAGATCGTTTACCAAATACTTATCCGGTAAATGTTTACGGATAAAATTAACACTATTATTTATTTATCGCGTAAGATTTTAGTTCACCAAAACGACATCGTGTGTAACAATTTACCCGGTTAGCGCTTACCGTGGTAAGAGTCGTCACCCTCATTTACCGGGCAAGACTCTTGGTCTTTGTCTCGCTCTTACCATATTCATCTAGTGAGGTAATGTGACTTCGTAAGCGTTTACCTGGGTAAACGTTTAGTAAACGGCCCCTAAATTTAATAATTCACTTTTTTCACTCATCAAATGATACTAACTTATCGAATGAATATAGTAAGAACCAAAAATCTTATCCGATAATAGTGAATGCAATGACCAAGAATCTTATCCGGTAAGTGAGAGCAACGACTTCTTCCATAGTTAGGACTTACCGGGTAAATTGTTGCATATAATATCATTTCGGTGGACTAAAAATATTACCCCGTATGTAAATAATAGTGTTAAATATTACCAGTAAAACACTTACTCAGATAAACGTTTTGATGGACAACCACTAAGTTTTATTTTCTTTTTGAAATAAACTTTAAAATGTTAAGAGATATTTTTCAGGATAATTTAAACATTTCTTGTTCAATAACTTATTTAATACTAAACAATAAAACAATTGATTTTATAATTATTGGAATTAAACCAAACAATCACCAGAAAAATTATTTTTGAAATTTTTTAATTTGTTTGGTGAATTTAATACAATTTTTTTATTTTTTAGATTTATATTCCACGTCAAAATATTGTCCAATAAATTATCAAACGATAATACCAAAGGTTAAAACCATTACTTTTCTCAACCAACCAAAAACCATTACAATGTACAAAAGTAGAATCAGAAATTACAATTGGAAGTGAAATTACTGCAACTAATCAGTATTTTCTACTAATTAATACTAATAAGAAAGCCCAAATTAAACCATTGTTATGTTAATTTGTTCAGATTACTTTTGGTAGTCTACGTATTATACAAAATACCAGTGTATTATACTTCCCTAAAAGACAAATTAAATACGATCCAGATCAAGGAGAATCTGATGAGTTGAAAGCCATTTCAGCGGGTTTTGTTGATTTAATCATGCTAATGACTGGTGCAGATCTGTCGTTACCGGATAGTGGATTCTGGTGACGGATTCTCTTTTGTTTTCCGACGGTTGACTCAGATGTCGATGTCGATGTCGGTGAGTGAAATGATGTCGTTTCGTCTCCAATGGCTGGTTCTGGGATCGGAGGTGGCCGTGTGTTGTGGTTTATGTTTACCGATGAAGAATCGATCTCGTCCTGATTTTGAAATGCAACACAGTGTTAATTAACGTCGTTGTGAACAAATCTACCGTAGCTCTAAAAATTAGCGAAGAGAGGAGAATAAAACGAGATAGTTATGTTGAAATTCGCGAGGTTTGGGAGGAATAAGTCAAAACCACAATCGATCCGATGGTTGTTAAAATTTGTTCACAAAATCACAACAAAAGAATCTTCATAATTTTACAAGATAATTGTGATTTTCGTTGTTGAAACTGTAAATAATTTGAAGTAAAAATTATGCAAAGGATAACTATTTTACCTCTGAGGTAAGATCTAGATCATTCTGACGCTTTCGCTTTAGAAAACCGCGTCGATCGCTGATCGAAAACTCTTCGCTGCTGGATGAACTCGCTGCTGGTGGAGGCGGTGTCGAGGACCACGGCACCACCTGATTATCATTTCCATCCACTGAATCCTCCAATTCAAGCTCATCACCGTCATACTCATCATCACTATCCGTACCAATTTCACTATCATTACCTTCAACTCTCTCTTCTCTGTCATCGTCATCATCGGAAATACCTTCAACAACACACCTTCCACAAATCGAGGCCGTCGTAGGGCCAATTTTCTCGCCGGAAGCACTCCACGGCGTCGGAGACTGGCATATCTGACAAAGAAGGCTCCTGGAATGCCTTGCTACAAGGAAGTTCGCCGAATGGACCTTGGCATCACAACTCCAGCATAAGCTAGCGCTGTCCGAATCACAGTAAACCCTAGCCATAGATTTGCAAAGCTCACATCTCTTCTTCATCTTCTTCACCCAGATCCTTCACTTTCTCTCTCTCTCTTTCTCTCTCTCTCTCTAAATCAAACACTCAAATGGTTTGGAAGCGATCGTAGGAGATAACAAGAAAAGATGATGTGATTTGTAAGCGAATAGCAGCGACGAGTCACTTGCTCTCACCTGTTGAAACCACCCTGGCTTTCTATATAAATAACCAAAATGCCATTGTACATTATAGTTTTATTTAATTAAATTAAGTAAAATAAAACATTAATTTTTGAGATAATCATGAATTAATAAATAATTTATTATACATTTATCTCTTTTCCATAACTAATTGGTCAAATGTTTGACTTAGGGGTTGTTTACCACACTTACCCGATAAGTGTTTACCGGTAAAGTTTAACATTAGCATTTACTTATCGGGTAAGATTTTAGTCCATCAAAACGGTGTCGTATACAACAATATCCGGTAAGCGCTTACCATGGTAAGAGTCGTTGCTCTCACTTACCGGGTAAGACTCTTGTTTCTTGTCTCGCTCGTATCGGATAAGATTCTTGATCCTTACCATATTCATCCAGTAAGATATTGTGATTTGGTGTTCAATTACCCGAGTAAGCATTTGGTAAACGGCCCCTTATTATCTAAACGTCACCACTTTGAACATTTCTAGAGCAATTTAGATGTTTTTTCGGCTATATACTTATATATTAATCGAGTTACGTTAAGTTGATTCTAACTTTTTGATTATTAACAAAAATTAGTTAACCAAGAAGAAAAATAAGATTCAGATAATTTTATATTAACATATCAAACGTAAAGTTGATATCTATTGACCTAAAAGTCAATATGTTAACTACAAGGATGGTGTCTAATTGGTTTGAACTTGGATTTTAAAGATCAAAAGTACGTGGAGATCCCAGGTTCGAACCCAATAATGAATAAAAATGTTCTTGTAGCCACGAAGATCCAAATGTGATGACTTCAGTCAGTGTTATTTGCAAAGCCGGTGGTCGTTCTGAAATTAATCGGCTCACATAGCAGGTATGTCATAAAAATATATATTATTAAAACTAAAACAATTTAAATCTTTTTTTAAAAAAATACAAAATATTTAATTTGGTTAGAAGGAGAGGGAAGATGGTGTAGGGATAGAACCGTCTTTTCAAGATTCGAAAAGCAAGAAATTTCAAAGATATCAACCACCGGAACTTGTGGTTATTAATGGCGAGGTTGCCATGCCACGCGTACGGTTGGTATGGTGCGAGGGGGTTTTCAATATTCCTAAAAAATGCTTTTCTTGTGGTGTAAAACATGGGTGTTTTTGGGGTCCACGTGGAGATATTTTTAAGAAGACTGTTGACGTGGCAGTCTGGTTTTCCTTTAAAAGATCCTGTACCCATGCCGCTGACGTGGCTAAGAATCCGCTCCATATGTGTGGCTTCCTCTATTTGCTGACGTGGAATAGATATTGGATACAAAACATGATAGGCTTCAACCATGTTATTTGTATACCAATTTGACATTTGTCATCAATTATTTCGGTATCCAGATCCGTATATTAGCTAAAAGACAAAAAAGATTCAAATTCAACACAAGTTCGCAATTGCGACGGTAAATTGGTTGAAATTTTTTTGTCTTTTAGCTAATATTACGAACCTAGCTAATATTGCAGACCTGGATATTACGTAATTAGTGATATTTAGGTACACCCTTGAGAGAAATGGTTATTTGAGTCAATTTTTCCTTATTTTTATTGAGTTATATTCTTTTTATTAATTAAGATATTTTTAATAAATAAAAAAAAGATTTTATTCTTTATTCTAGTTTAACATTTTTTTTACATGGACGTTTGAATCTTTTCGGAGGCCTGTATTGAAAACTTTTGTTTATATTGAATAAATGAGATAACAGAGAATATATGCTAATCACAAAATGAGCTAAAACTAGACGATTAACAATCTGAATCTAAACCTAAACCACTAATACTTTGTACCTAAAACCAAACAATTAACAATTTGAATCTAAACAATTTCGGCTATAGTTTTACACAAGTCGATAAAAAGACCCTAAGCACATGTAAAATTTGGACTCAAAATTTTGGGGGTTGAGACTCTAAGAAAAATCTCATATTTAACATGTTAAGAGACGACCCTGATTTATATTGTTCTCTAAAATAGAGAAAATATGAAGAAATTTTTTTTATATTTTAATAAATTCTCTAGAACTTAATATTGAATAGAGAGAAAATGAACTTTTAATTTTTTTTCATTAATGAGATTTATTTTATATTAAAAAAATAAAGTTATTGAGCTGATAAATTTATATAAAAATAATATAATCAATATTGAAAATTCTAAACTAGAGAATTTGTTGCATTAAGTGTAACTTTGTTAAATATTTTAAACTACTGGATTTATGGGCAGATAAAAGGACCATCATGGAGGATTATCATTGCGTATTACATTCTCATTTCAAAACATAAAATCCAACAACCCAAATGAATTTAACGTGTCATACTTGAAAACAGGTTTTGGAGGGTGACCTGTATGCAGAGTACCTGACATCTAACCGAAACAACAGAACGATCCTTTTTATGAATACTCATGATTTGCGAAATGGTGTGTATGAAAAAGTTTTGGCCCGAGAATTTCAAAAAGTTTTCCAAATCTTTTAAAGAAATTGAAACAACGATTTTGACAAGGAAACGTAAAACTAGTTGATGATATGCAACATAAAACGAACTAACTACAATACACCGTATAAACACCACAAACTTTTATTCGTTGTAAGACTTTAGCAGCCTGACTAACAACTCTCAATCCTTTCCAATAACAGAACACTTGTTCGTATGTGTTTGATATACTAGCAAATGTTATACCAGTAACAATATTGTTGTTCAAGACCCCTCAAGGCCATAAGAGGGTACATGGTCATTGTTGGCTTCATGACTTCATAGGATTAGTCTGGATGCATACAAACCAGTCTGAACTCCTACAATTATCAAACGTTATTATCGTTAAATAATCGACAATGGTTGTTATTACTTTTTTTTGGTTGGTTCATTTTCTCAGCATAAAAATGACTGATGTTAGAGTTAATTTCTGCATATATTTTTCTAAAAACAAAAAAAGATAAATATAAAGAAACAACAAATTTGACATTCATGGGACCTGAATTTGGAATTTTTATACGAAGGCAAAAACATTTACTATCTCTACTGTTAAAGTCTTGTGCTAGTGTTTCAGTTTCAAAAGCTATATGGTGGCACCCAATAAAATAACACAGTGATATCTTTTATAAACGCTATTTTTTCCCTTACGAAGGAACCATGAAACAGTGCCCTATGTCATCCTATTCTTCTATGTAGGTCTCCTCCTAACTGACCAGATCTAAATAAGTTAACAAATTGAGAAATGATTTCACTTTATATCCTAACCCACTTTCACTTTAAAGTCGATCCTTACACATAGAAAGTGGATTTTCTATGCAAGGATCCTTTTTTGGGACCAAAAACCAATATGCATATGCGTAAATTTTCTGGATAAGAATTGACCGTAAAGTAAAAATAAATCAGGATATCTATACCATATTATAAAATATTTGACAAAAACTCTTAAAAATTATTTTTTTAATTAACCTGGATATATAACCCGCTATGCGAGCCGACTAATCCTAGGACGACCACCTGCTTTGCAGATAGCCCAGAGTCACCGCCTTTGAACCTTCGTGGCTACAGGGGAATTTTTATTCCTCATTGAATTTGAACCTAGTACCTCCTGATACTTTTGACCTTTGGAGCCAAGCTCAAACCAATCAAACATCACCCTTGTGGTTTCCAGTAATACACGCCAGACGTTTAGATTACTTGACATGTGCGCAAATGTGCGGATCCACCAGAGGTAGGGCACATGACCCCATTTCTCGTATTTACCCCCAACCAAAAGTCCAAGCAGCTATTACTTAAAATTTAAGATTACAAATAAATTGTGCATATGTACAACTTATTAAAACTCCAGTTTTTAATTCGTATAACTAACTGCAGATAAGTGTTATCAAATACAGAATAAACATAATCAAATATAGGATAAAAATCTCATTTTAAATAAAAAATTTAAAGTATAATTAGGATAATCATTTTAATTCTAACATAATTATTATCTTTATAAAAATTATATTGTTAAGTCAAAAATAAATTACTTCGTTACTAGACCTAAATTAAATCATAATAAAATTTTGAATTAAAGAAATTGTATATAAAAGAAAGCTTTTAAATAGTTAATTTTATATTAATATCGATATATATTTTTAAATTTCTATGATATATTCAAATTTATTTTTATTCAAAAGTAAAAACATCTTTCTTGAAACCATATAAACTATATTATATTAACAAAGACCAAAAAAGTAAAACAAAATACTAAAAATAAAGATGTTTCTCATTGCATTACACGAGTACCCTTTTAATAGCTATAAATTAAAAATTGATCTTGTTAAAACGTGCAATTACAGTAACCAAATTTGTTATTTTTTTTTCAAAATGGAAAGTAAAAAATGTAATTCACTCGTAAGCTTTTTTAAAAGTTGTTTCTGATGGCCCAAAAATCGACGATCAAAATCTTATGGTGATGCATAGTGCCACGTGTAGGGTTATTATTGATTATAAGCGTTTTCCCACACTCTTAGAAAGCAGTCTTTGTGTGGCCTAAAAAATCTGAAAGGACTGGGAGATATTTTGGGGGGAGATTGGTACTGTTGACGTGGAGGTGTGTGAAGGTCCACGTCGGCTTCCCAGCTGTCATGTGGGTTTGAAAATTGGAATTATACCTTGATCCACGTGGATGATCGATTGTGGTGTTTTATCGACTTTATCTTCTGGTCCTCTTTAAGTCCACCAGTGAACCGGGTTCAACCGGGTCATGGGAAAATGTCTGCTTCCGGTTTAACCAAAGGTTTCATTACTGGCCACACATGAATACTATTAATATATTTCGTCCTAAGGTAAAAAAAAAGCTACGGCTATTAAAAAATCTAAAATAAAATAAAATAAAATAAAAATCTCTCTCTTATTTCTTTCTCTTTCTTTTCATAACAATATAATTTATATTATA